TGTGTGGTTGGACAGACAATTTCCCTATCCCATCTGCTCCTCCTGGCTGAATCAAACCCTGATGAGCCGAAACCTCCCCCCTTTCCCAGACCAGAGATCCATCAGCCAACCTGCCACTCAAGGCCTAGGGGGGGCTAGAAATGATAATGTTGTTGCCATCTTCCTGTCTTCCTCCTGCAATTTTTAATAACCCGAAGCACACGCTCACATCTCACGCCGTTCCCTCACACATAAACACATTTAATTTGAGTGAGCTTTTAATAGGGTTACAAAGTTTATCGTAACTTGATGATTAAAAGCCTTGTCGATTCAAGCCTCGCGCTATACATTAATGACCCTCAGTACGAATCAGGGCTAGACGGGACCTAGCAGGGTCCAGACTAATCTCGCCAGTGAGTCCCTGGGGGACTGAGAAGGTCTGCAAGAGTCAATTTGCTATTCCTCATCAAGCCTAACTCACCACACACATACACACACACACACCCACTCTGGTCAGTTTGCTCAGGCCCAGCTGGTTCTCAGAGGGCACATGACACAAATGACTAACGTATCCCATAATGCCATCTGCTTCCGATATCCCAGAAGGCCTCCAACCAATCAGAAACACATGCTCACCAAAGAAACACCTGACTGACATTAGAGGGCCGGATGTTACCACGGTGATGAGCCCAGCTCAGATGAGTGCTTTAAACTCCACAACAAATAGTTTTAGTGGTTGCACGCATATGTGTGAGGTTTGTGTTTAAGAGTCAGTTTGGGATCGGACAAGATGCTTAGTAAGTGTCTCGATAGGTGTGCGTGAGGATCTGGCTGGGCTATTGTGTCTGGATGTGCAAGAGCTAGATTAATTGTCTCTCCTCTCCTCATTTTCCTGCTCAGCAGAGTGGAGAGAGAGAGACGGAGAGAAAGGGAGAGGGCAAAGGACAAGGGAGAGGAAGATTCAGAGGGGCATAAAGAGAAGAAGACAAAGAAAACCAGAGGAGATTAGACAAAATGTGCAAATAAGAAAAATGGGATCTCATTCTTTCTCTTAAATCTCATAACAGCAAAGCCGGAAAGTAAAAATTTAAATTAGCATGATGAAAAACTCAGATTCTCAAATAGTGAGGATCCTTCATATCTATAATAAAGCGATCCTGAAGGTCTGGCTCTGGGATTTGAAAGTATTTAAAGGGATAGTTTCCTCAAAAATGAACATTTTGTCATCATTTACCCACCCCCATGTAGTACCAAACCTGACTTTCTGTGGAACACGAATGCTATTTAGAAAATTTAAAAAGCATTCTTCAAAATATCTTGTTTTGTGTTCCTCAGAATTAAGAAAGTCTGGAACAACATGAGGGTGAGTAAATGATGACAGAATGTTCATTATTTGGTGAACTGTTCCTTTAAGTGTTGCAGTTGTTGAAGTACTGAAGAGGTCAATGGAAACAGTCTCTCCACAAGGGATTTTCGGTGCTGTTTGTGACTGACAATAAACACATTGAGAGAGACAGCTGAATGTCACCCTCGCACACCACTCTGACAGCAGCCTGGAGGAAGTGATGTCATAAACCGAGGGAGGTGTTGTCATCCGCTCTAGAATACAAGCTGAATGCATGTGCTATATCCCACAAAGTATGTTGCTCACCTGCAGTTACATGTTACTGTCTTTCTCTTTAATGCTGGCGTTTTTCTGCTTGATTTATGAATTCATCCAGCAGTTACTTACAGTTGGTGGTCAGCATCATGCATCCTGAGAGGGGTGTGGTCTGTGAGGCCATTGGTCAGGAACGTGGGACTAAATTAACCCAGAAAATAATGGACTTGGAATGAAATACTGTCTCATTGCTTATACTGAATATCACAGTATACTTGCTACTATTTTTTGTTCAATGGAACACATTAAGATGCAGCCACATTAGCGAAATTTCTGCAAAATTTTGCCGGCAAAAAAAGGTCCATTGTCAATAGAGTAGTGATGCATGAAGCACAGCTCACACAACGTCACTTTCAAAGCAAAGCTGTTGTAAAATAGTAAGAATAGTATACAGACATTTTATATTGAACATAGTCAAGGTCACAAGAACAAAGCCAATTCAATGGCAGATATGTTTAAAAGTCAGCCTTTCACTAAAAGCAGGTAATATTGAACAGTCATCCCACTGGAATAGCTTTAACAGAGTGATGTATGTTAAGAGGATGTTGTCAGATGGTTTCTGTTTTTGGGTGTGGTCAATAATCTTTTAAGCCAAGTCTCACAGAGTTTAAATTACAACATACACGATTAACATAAAAGAGAGAATGAGCAGATGATCTATTGTGATTCCACCCAGATATGACAGGACTGACCGCAGTCAGGAAACTCACATTAAAGTGGAATCATTTTGTTTACAGGTGCATCTCAATAAATTAGAATGTCGTGGAAAAGTTAATTTATTTCAGTAATTCAACTCAAATTGTGAAACTCGTGTATTAAATAAATTCAATGCACACAGACTGAAGTAGTTTAAGTCTTTGGTTCTTTTAATTGTGATGATTTTGGCTCACATTTAACAAAAACCCACCAATTCACTATCTCAACTAATTAGGATATGGTGACATGCCAATCAGCTAATCAACTCAAAACACCTGCAAAGGTTTCCTGAGCCTTCAAAATGGTCTCTCAGTTTGGTTCACTAGGCTACACAATCATGGTTTCACAATTTGAGTTGAATTACTTAAATAAATGAACTTTTCTACATTCTAACAGAAAAGTTCTAATTCTAATTCAGAAAATATTCTAATTTATTGAGATGCACCTGTATACCGAGGAATGAAGAAGAAGACTTTTCTGTTTAGCAGGAAGTAGTGTAAAGGGGATTTTTGAAATGAGTCCTTTATTTCCTTGGCCTTGGTTCACAATAAAAGCTTTTGAACGTCCTTACACACACATTCGTACCATTCTCCCAAAACCACACTATTCTGCCAACTCGGAGATGATTGAGGTGAAGAATTTGAGTGGGTACATTGGAACAACACATATGCTTTTTCTCTTCCGGTCACATGCGTACTGTAGACCATGTTCTATTCAATTCAATTCACGTTTATTTGTATAGCACTTTTCACAATACAAATGGTTGCAAAGCAGCTTTAAAGAAAATTAAAGTTTCATTATTAGTAGTAGCTTATCAGTGGTGACTATGTCAAGTTGATGTCCATATGGCAGAAATGTACAGCAAAAATCATATAGTTAGTTAATGACATGTAATCAAACAGACGGTGAACCCTATTAACAGCAATGATTATATGTTGTGATCAAACTTATAGCAAAATGTGGTAGTTTTGTATGTTGTTTGAGGGTTGGCATCATCTGAGGTCCTCTGACGGGTCGGCATCATCTGATCTCAGGTGTTTGGTCATCTCAGATCATTGTAAGGGCTGGATCCAGACTGAAGCTTGTGTAATTCCTACAGTAGTTACCTCGGGATGCCAATCCCGTGGCAGAAAAAGCAACATTAGCATAGCTGATGTTCAAAATAAAGCAAAAATTATGTGTTCAACCCAAGCAAAAGAATGATAATGTGCATTTGATCAGATATAACAGAAGTACAAGGTTATGAGATACATTATATGAATGCTTGGCTAATTAGATGCGTCTTTAATCTAGATTTAAACAGAGGGAGTGTGTCTGAACAACGAACGTTATCTGGAAGGAGAAGTACAAGGTTATGAGATACATTATATGAATGCTTGGCTAATTAGATGCGTCTTTAATCTAGATTTAAACAGAGAGAGTGTGTCTGAACAACGAACGTTATCTGGAAGGCTATTCCAGAGTTTGGGAGCCAAATGTGAAAAAGCTCTAGCTCCTTTAGTGGACTTTGCTATAGGTCAGGGGTGCCCAAACTTGGTCCTGGAGGGCCAGTGTCCTGCAGAGTTTAGCTCCAACCCTAATTAAACACACCCGAAGCAGCCAATCAAGGTCTTACTAGGCATAATAGAAACTTCCCGGCAGGTGTGCTGAGGCAAGTTGGAGCTAAACTCTGCAGGACACCGGCCCTCCAGGACTAAATTTGGGCACCCCTGCTATAGGTACTACCAAGAGTCCAGAGTTTCGCGATGGATTGTAGCGTGATAGAAGACTAGTTAGGTACGCAGGAGCTAAACCATTAAGGGCATTAAAAGTAAGTAGTAATATTTTGTAACTGATACAGAACTTAATATGTCTCACAAAAACTTAATATGACTCACAGAAACTTTGAATGTGTCAACATGATCTCTTCTCCCTCATAGATACAGTCTATTAATTCATACCTAGCTTGACATTAATAATAATAATAATAATAATAATAATAATAATAATAATAAAATAAAAATAAATGATTGTGGGAGAAGTATGAAGTAAGTTAATGAGTGAGGATGAGTGTCACACAAGACACATATAAAAACCTTAGAAGCTATTACGGTCTTGACTGTGTCTCACAGACACAATATTTTTCACATTAAGATAATGATATTTACCATATCTTACCCTTTAACCCTATGCTCACCATGTTAGATTTAAAGCAAAGCTTAATTTGGTAGATTTATGAACCTTTCAAACAGTGAAGAACGCTTCAAATGTCCCCACAAGTAGGTGTTTTAAATGTTTTAAGATATTTATGAAGACATTTTCAAAATGTGGCCTTCAGAAGTGTAGACAAACCTGTACATGCACACACACAGAAAAAAATATGCACATACTGCATGTATTCACTCAGTCGAACAGGCCTATATATTAAAATAAATATGATATATACATTAGGCTAAATAAAAATAATAAATCAAAATTGATTTTGAAAAAAGCTAATTACTTATTTGTTAAGTGAAAAAATAATGAAAAAAAGCTAATTATTGGTTAAAAAGGTAACTTATTAAAAATAAAATAATTAAACATGTTTATTTACTTATTCATTTATGCCCCTTTAAAATAATGTTTTTTAATAAGATGCAAATGGCACGTTCCTTTCGATAGGTGCCCTCCTCTTTTCTTTCTCAGATGGTACAGTCCGTTTAAAGAGCCGCTCGGAGTCTCTCGTGCGTTGAACTCTCTCCACGAGAGCGCGCGGCAGAAAGAGTCGTTTAGTGAAGCACGCTGTTTTATTCTGTCTTTACAGACTCTGTCTCTCACTCTGTCTTTCAGTATGGGACTCTAAATATATTTTCTCACCTTGTGGATTTTAGGGGATTTCTGCGCTTATAAAATAGAGGACAGACAGAATGGGATTTTAGTGTGCTTTATGATGCAGCAGCCGATATGACTCGCTCCGTGGGTTCCGTGGATTCTCCCCGCAGGCGAAGATCCAGAGAATGATGGAAGAGAACAAGCAGCTCGCGCAGCGGATTGATGGCGCGATCCAGTGCGCGAAGCAGGAGGTGGCGAACCTGCGCGCGGAGCTGACAGCCACCGGCCACAGACTGGCGGAACTCGGCGAGCTGGAAGAACCGGGCGAACCGCAAGGACACCAGCTGCAACAACAGAACCATCACGGTAAGGAACCGCACCTGTGAGTCTGTGACCGCTCATATCGCTTACCTGTGTGACCTTCGAGTGAATGGCAGAATAGATACAAACTCTCACTCTTCCTCCGATTCATTCCAGTGGGTTAGTAAGGTGACTTTTAGTTTTTTCAGTTTCCACAGCTGGTGTTTCAGGACAGTTTTTAGTATGTTTTTGTGTGAACATATCAGAATGATTGTGTTAAGAAAAAGAGTGTTTATATTCATCAGCAAGCTTTAGATCTGTATCAGAAATCAACTTTTTATTATTGTAAGACATATTCAACCCCCCACTGAAATGTTTTACCTTTTTGATGGCATTTTTTCTAACAACAGTTAATTCAGTTAATTAAAATGGTACAGTGCCAAAACCCATGTGTAGGTAATATTATGAAATGTTACATAACCAATGCCACAAATTCACTGCAGTGTAAATCTAGCCTCAATGTTGTGAACATCTCTGCATTTTTCTCACTTTTAGATCTTTCCCTTGCTTTAATAAGACTATATCCACAAGAGAAACTGTTTTACTGACAACACAAGTAATGTAATCAGGAAATGGCCCTTCATTTTATTTTCCATTAATGCCGTCAGACTAAGTGTACCACACTATAGAAAGGCTCTCCTGCTGTTCTGTGTGCGGTTGTAGCCGCCATTGATTGATTGGTCAGTCTTGTGATTGTCTCTAAGCTGCTTGGTGTAGCTCGGGATGGCTTCTGTTTGAGTCTCTTGGGTGATCAGAGTGAGTATCTGTTTCTGATCCACCTGCGCTCACTGGGTGGAGTGGCCACCCTGGGCTGGTTTGGGTCATAACATTTAACAGATGCTTTTTATCCAAAGCAACCTACTGTATGCCAGAGCCACCCTGGGGTTGTGTGCCTTGCTTAAGGGCACAATGATGAATCATGATTGTGATTTCCATAATTACTGAACAATCTCAGATAATTACTGATGAACTAGATGTGCCCTGCAGTGACAGTGAAGCTTTGCTTCACCCTAGAAACATTCTGCCATCAATTTACACTTCTATTCTTAGATAATCATACTAAGACATACAAGGTTAGTCTGTGTTTTTTGTTTTTTATTAGCACAAATCCAACTTTCACTGTAAAAAAAAAATGCAGTAAAAACCTGTTAATTGACTAACTGTAAGTTGCTGTAAAACTGTAAATGTTTTGATATCACTTATGTAATTTTACTGTAAAATACTGTCACATTTGTGGTTTTTGCAAGTAAAAACTACATTTCTGTATATATGATATGATGCAAAACAAGGAAATGTACATTCCCAGTAGTCACTGCATGACACCTCATATATTAAAAATGTTAACATCGAATGTCTGGCAACCACAGCTGCTGTATTTTTGCTTAAATTTAACAGGATATTTTTAGTGTTCTCTTATTATACTTGATTGGTCATTTGTAGTGTTCTTTTTTTTATATTGATTTCTAAACTGTATATTTGACCCTTGTGTATGCCAAGAAGTTATTTTATATCTGTTTATTTATTTATTTGGTAAGCGGTCGTATAACAAGTGGGATAATGCAAAATCAGCCAGTAGTTATTGCAAAACAAAACCCCTTCAGAATAAATAATACAGGATGTTTAATTTGTGATGATGCCGGCTAACTGTACATTATGCATTACATACATTGCTGCTATATAATAACTTATAAAAGCATGTAAAAAGAACAGTAATCTTTCCATTCCTCATCATTTCTCAGTAGAAATCCATCTCATAACTGCAGATGAATTCTGACACTCTAGAGGATCACTGTGAGGCTCTTGCCCGCAGCTCTCTCTGATTTCATTCAGCACTTCATTGAGAGCTCAGCAGATTGCGATCTTGTGTCTTAATGTCCCACATCCACTCCAGGAAAGGCACTTTTCGGCCTTGAGTTTGGCTTGCCAAGTCACTTGATGCAATTCATTTATGTGTTAATTTATGCGTTTGGCAGGCACTTTTATCCAAAGCGGTTTAGAAAGCATTCAGGCTATATATATTTATCATTACATGTATTTCCAGGGAATCAAACCTATGACCTTGACGTTGCTAGCGCCAGTTAAGCTACAGTATTTCAGTCTGGCAAAGCTGTTTTAATCTAATCAGGGACTTTGTTGTTGCATTTTGCCACATGTCAGAATGTAAGATGTGTGTATTGACAAAATAATGACTTATCAAGATGGAAAATCACACGGACACATGCGCCCAGACATGGGCCTGTCGGTGTAAATGAGAACAGTGCTTATTTATCTCTTGGAAGAGAGAGTAGCAGTGCAGATGGCCCTACAAAGACCTGCTGCTAATGAATGAGACACTAAACGCATACAAATAAACACGTGCACACACACAGTCTTGTCTGCTTTTAGTTAATTTCCCAATTATGGCATTGTATCTACATTAACTATGGGTTTTTATGGGATTTTATTTGCTTAAAGATGATGTTTATGTAGCGTATCCACACTATAGTCAGAAGAGAATGGATCTAAGTGCACTTGACCATATATCTGACTTATGTGATATTGATGTTTCTAAATTGCCTTAATGGCTTGGCTGCATAATTGTTTTGATGTAACAGCTGTCGGCTGCCACGCACTTAAAAATCTAGCTATTTCTGTTTATGGGAATTACACTTGCTTATACGTTTGAGAATGAGTTAATTAGTTATGATAAAGCACTAACCAAGTAATTGCGCTTCTTAGTAAATCTTGAGAGACAATGTCAACAGAAGGTTGGCTCCATACAGGTGAGCTTGTGTTCATCTTAGATTATGTCATAGGGGCTGTTCAAGTTTGATTTCCCTATCTATCTGTCTCTAGGCAGCAGTGTGGGTTGCTAGGCAATCTTCTCTCATTATGACATCACAAAGGGGAGGACTGATAATGCAGCTAAAAGCTTTTCTCCTTTCTCTCCATATACGCTCAGACACACTCCAGCTGATCAATGCTTTTAGTTTATCCTACTGACATTAATGAGCTATTAAGCGGGTCATTAGCTCTTCAGATTTCGATTATGTTGTTTTGTATAAAAGTGATTATATTTTCATAAGGGTATTTGTCCATGTGCTTGTCTATCTATTATTAAAATGCTAAATAAATCCAGTTGTTTGTATCTCAGCAATAGACACGTGTTATGTATATGTGTGAGCGCGCTGTGATGGGAGCCGGCTGAAAGCAGTCCTGATCCTGATCCCTCAGACGTGTGAACTGCCTAATTTAAATGCAAGGTAAAAGATGAAACATCTCGACATATATCCACATCAAGCCTCTGGATTGAAGCAGTCAAGAGCTCAGTTCGCTCATAAAGACCATTTTCACGTTTGGATCAAAAGGAATCACCATCATTTAAGATGTAAGGCTTTAAATGGCACTAAAACGGCATTAAAGGTCAGGCTAAATCACCACCATCAAGTTAGAGACAGTTCCGGGCTCAGTTTTAATCTAATATTATTAGACATATGAGTAGGATGTGCTCTCGACTAATCCATGATACCTAATTCGCTCACTTTATTTGATCCTGCTCAAATTCCTGATGGTGCTGACGGATGTTTCACCTGGCCTGTGATTCCGGCTCCTTTCTTGGAAATGATGGTAATGTAAAGTGAAGATGAAACGGAACTATCAACAAATCTTTTCTTCCATTTTATAAGGTACATCCGAATGTAAACGGATTACTGGAAAAGAAATAATGTAGCATGAAGACTGGTTCTATGCATCGGTTGCTGCTTGGGTTTTGAGATGTGGGCATTGCACTCAAAATTGTAGGCAGATGAACGCAAGCTTGCAGAGGTGGGTTTAAGTGGTCTAAATGATTAGAAAAGTCCTGGAGTCAATTAAAAGATAAAACATATAAAGAGATGAATTGTTCACAATAAATCTATAACATGCTATTAGAAAATAGAAAGAGTGAAATTTAATTTCATGCCGACTTTATCCTTAATTCACTTGAATAATGCAGATTCATTATTTATTTATTTATTTTATTTTAACTGATAATGGTGCCTTACTCTATTTTCTGATGATGTGGAGTCAATCTTGTTGATGTTCACTCCCTCTTACCTCACTGTGACTCACTTATTTTCACGCCATAAAACAACAAAACACACAGTCTGATTATAAGTGTGCTTAGTTATGACAATATGACTGACTCGCTCTTTCATTGCTTTAAAAAGTCTGGTTCACTTGTTTTTTTTACAGTCATTATTAAATAATCAGCAAAAAATTGGTCTTGCCCTCCTACTATTGACCAGACCGGTGAGTGTTTTTTATTGCTTTTTGCTGTAGCTAGCTATTTTGCTGATTTGCCACTCTTGAGGCGCAGGATAGTCATAGACCTCTGTGACGTTTCAGGCTGATTCATGATTTCAAAGGGCAGAATTGCTAGTGATGTCATAATTATTGAAAAATTGGCCAGACAGATGAATCAACGTGTATTTTGCCATTTTGAGATGATTGATCAAAATTGACAGTAAAGACATTTATAATGTCACAAAAGATTTCTGTTTGAAATAAATGCTCTTCTTTTGGAATTTCTATTTATCAAAGAATTCTGAAATGTGTGTGTGTGTGTGTGTGTGTGTGTGTGTGTGTGTATATATATATATATATATATATGTATATGTTTCCACAAAAACTTTTTTCAACATTGATAATGAGAAATGTTTGTGAATGAAACTTGTGAATGACGCATAATCACGATTTTCAGTTATCATAATTTTCATTATTATTATCAGTAAATAGCTACCCTGCTCTCTAGATATTGGCGTCAGCTATAAGAACTCATATCAGTCAATGGCTACCTAGAATATTATTGCTTGTTGCTGGTTTGATATGAAGGATTTTAAACGTATCCACACACTACATTATAGAACGCTTAGAATCTGTTGTTTTTAAAGATCAGTTTTGTGAAAGCTACAGTCTGTCATGAGACCACAAATTGACAAAATTTGATATTTTGTTGCAGCGCACTCTGCCGTATAGTTATCCATTGA